TTTCTGATGAAGGGTCTAGGCCCGAAACGTCAGCCTCTCTGCTCCTATGATGCTGCTTGGCCTGCTGTGTTCATCCAGCCCTGCACCTTGTTGTCTTTTACACAGAGTGGTATGAGTCTGGAACGTGCTGCCAGGAGTGGTGGAGGAGGCAGATACAATAGGGGTGTCTAAGGAGCTTTTAGATAAGCACATGAATATACAAAAGAATGGAGGGATATGGACCAAGGGCAGGCAGAAAGGATTTAGTTTAATTTGGCGTCATGCGCGGCATAACATTCTGGGCTGAAGAGCTCATTCCTGTGCTGTACTGTTCTATGTTCTATGTTTATCAGTTGGAATTTATGACAGTCCGTTTCTTCTCTGGCAGCACAACAGAAACACAGAACTCTGCTGCCTGTATCCTGTTCAACTCACTCATGACCCTGCCATACGGATCTACATTGGTTCTGGATCACTACTGCCAATTTAAAATTCTCATCCTTTTAATTAATAAAAGATAAAAACATGTCATTATACTCTTCTGATAATTATCCTATGTAACACTTGCTGGATTCTGAAAATATGTTTAATATGGCCAAATTGAGACACCTGTTTTTCAATTCAGAAGAGCTTCAGTCTTTGTTTCATCAAGTACATAAGAGTCGGCACAAAACTCTGGCAACTTCATGCAATAAACTCAGGCCTGCTAAAGATACATCTTTGAGTCCGGTCAATTGCTCCATAAGAGGTTTGAGTTTGTTACTTTTATGGGAGTTGATTCACACTTCCTTGTACATACTTGGATAATACCGTAACATTAGCGCTTTATGATTTGTGTTGAATGCTTAAGACTTCAACCTGAAATATCCAATGTCAACTGAACTAACACTTGATGATTCAATAAGCTACTTTATTGCACAACGAGGAGAATCATAGAAACATTACAGCACAGAACATTCAGCAGTTGTCTGTACTTGGTGTGCAAAAGCAACTCCCTCAGTCCAAGTCCCCCACCTTTTCCTCACAGCCTTGAAAATATTTTTTCTCTAGATAATTGTCCAATTTTATTTGGAAAGTTAACACGTAACATGACAATTATAATTAGATTTACTTGATCAAAGAGTATAGCTTAGTTCCAATCACAATTTGTACTTATTCAGTGTTTTCTCCTTGGGGCGGAAAAGAATGCCAAGATACTTCGCAGAAGGACGATCTGATAAAAATGGCACCAAGCCAAAGGGAATATTTGAGTGAGTGACTAAATATTTGGTCAAAATAGTCACTTTTTAAGGAGGGTCATAAGGATGGTTGAGGCAGAGTTAAGGGGGAGAAATCCAAAGCTTGCGGTCTTGACAGTTGATGCGGTTGTCGATGGCATAACGAAGAGTAGATGTATCGGGCCAAGAACAGTGTTATGTGGGACGATTATAGAGCTCAAGATGTTTGCAGGAATAGGAAGAGGTGAGGTCATGAGGGGATTTAAACATGAAGATGAGATCTTTACCACAAAATATAGGCAGAAGTGGTTTAGACAAATTAATGTTTACAGAGCATGTACACTGATGTTTACAGTGGATGGAAAGCACTAGAGTAATTGGAGGTAATAATGACACAAATAAGGATTTAGAATAAGTCTGAGGAAATAAGAATAGGGGTGGAGGCAGGCTGGTGATGGAAGCAGCAGAGGCAGTTGTTGAGACGGAAAGGTTATGAGCTCAGTTCAGGGTCAAATATGATATAGTTATTGCATATAGTTAGGTTCAATTTAAGATGATGGCCAGGGATAGGAATGCTTCAGTAGCAAGAGAATAGAATGTGATTGAGATCGAAGCCAGTGTTTCAGTCTTCTAAATGTGGGCGACATTGCTGCTTCACAGCGCCAGGGACCCGAGTTTGATTCTACCTTTGGGTGACTGTCTGTGTGGAGTTTGCACATTCTCTCCGTGTCTGTGTGGGTTTCCTCCCACAGTCCAAAGATGTGCAAGTTAGGTGGATTGGCCCTGCTAAATTGCCCATAGTGTTTGGGGATGTGCAGGCTAGGTAGTGTTACAGGGATAGGGCGGGGTGGGATGTTATTCGGAGGGTTGGTGTGGATCCGTTAGGCTGAACGGCCTGTTTCCACACTCTAGGGATTCTATGATTTAACTGGAGGATGTTGAAAAAGTAGCCCAGTTAGGAGTATAACAGATACAGTATTAAGGTGGGTGAGTGGTGTGAAGTACAGATCATAGAACAGGCTTCAAAATGATAGGTCAACATTTCTGATTCGTACCTCTTCTCACATCATGACTTGCCCTTTGAAATTAAATCTTCAACCTAAGTATTTGGTTTTGATTAAAGATCCAAACCCAAAGCTATCAAGCTGTCAATTTAGGATATGGCTTGACCTCATTCATTTCCATAAATTTATTTTTTTGTTGACATTTTCAAGATTATATTCTCCAGAAAACATCTGTCTTTAAGTCAAACAAACAATCAGACTGTCAAAAAAGACTACTATTTGTGTATGCCAACGAGAGGAGGTGCACTTAAGATTTAATGCCAACTGAAAATTTCCTAGTGGGTTAAAATTGTTCAATTGCTTATTACTTTAGTCCTTATTCAACTGGTTTCTGGAGAAATTTAGTGAATTTCATCACCAAGATGTAAAATATTAAGAAAATATCTGGAAAACTAGAGAAATAAAGACAGAAAGTACCAAGAGTATACATCTTTCTTAAGTGAAAGGACAAATTAGTATTTTAGTGCAGACATTCTGCTACACTGAAGATCTGCATTGAAAATAATGAGCTATCCACTTAAGGCATACAAACCTTGCCTACGTAGACCTGTCACTGTTCTAAATGCAGTTGAGCTGTTTAACAACCTGTAGATGTAAGATTCCACCTGCAGTCGGGAGAGCACTGAAGTATAGGCATGTAGAGCCAGTGTTTGATGCAAGTGATCAGCCTTAATACGTAAAATCCGTTGCAGCTCTGCAACAACTGAATTGTTCATCTCCACAGTCTGATATCGATGATAGGCTGTAACTTTTGTTTGATCAGCACAAACTCCCTATAAATAAAGCAAAACACATGGCCAAATGTACAAAGAAGGTGATGTAAGTTTCCATACAGATGGTGAAATTGTGAAAACTAAATTTTGTACTGGATATTGTAAGTGAAATATATTAAACAAAAATATTAAAAGAAAGATGACATCCTATCCTTAAAAATATTAACTGCAAAAACCACATGCAGTGTCATAGACTCTCCCTTGTTCACGTCAGCAAACCATTGCCACCTTCAAATTTACTTTGTACTGCAACCTTCTGGAATTGGTAGAGTAATGGGTGTACAAGTTCCTGGTATTCATGGAATATGGTCTAAGAATATACCAACAGTTCTGGATCTGTAAATGCCTATACATTGTCAAGAATCTATTTAATTTTCCACATCTTAACTTAACAGTAAACACTCAAAACATTAATGCACTATGTTTGAGGCGGATAGAGAAGACATAACAACAAGTGGGTTCAAATGCAGACTCAGGAACCCACTGTCATGAAAAGATTATAACCCCAAATTACTTACAAATATTGAACTTCTAGCTGCATGGTTTTTAAAAAGACAAAGCAGCCAAAGGATAGCTGAGAATATAAATTGAGTGGCTATCTGGAACATCCCTGTGCAAGTTACACGAAGTTCAGACAGGAACAATGGAATGTTGCACCTGAAATGTGTCTATGGGACTTTAGACAGCAACACTTCAAAGTAGAGGCACCATTCAAAAGAAAGTTGAACTGTGATCTCCTGTGGCTACGGAGATAATGAAGGACTGATTACCACCATAAGAGAAAAGCCATATGCTGTAGATTCTCTCTCAGATTATGAACAGGAATTGAAAGAGGCAGCTTGGGCAGAAAAAGATGTTTGTTTTATGCTTCCAGCAATACACAAGAAAGGGAGTTAAAAACCACCTGCAAGCCCTGGTTTCTGTGTGCAATTACAATGAAAAAGCATCTCTCTTTCTGATTGCTGATTATTTTACAACCTGAAGCTAAAGAATTTGCAACAGAGTCCAATTCTGCACTACAGATCAACTGCTTCCTGCTTCAAAAATCACAATGCAACCATGAGCAGCTCTACACGTAGGGAGACAAATATTGTCTGGAAAGAATTAAAAATTTCACTTTTTTTCAAAAACAGTGCAATGACATCTTTAATGGTAATGAAAGTGGTTCATTTTACAAGCCGCAAAAAGGAGGAAGCTAGGTTTTATCAACAAAAATCTTAGGTGGAGAAACTGGAAAACAATAAATGTTCATATTCCATGCTAAAATAATTTGATCTTCCCCTTTGCTTCAAAGACAGAACACTGGAGAAACTCAGGAGGTCTGGCAGCAACTGTGGATAAAAGAAACAGTTAACGCTTACAGTCTGCTATGACTCTTCTTGAGAACTGTGTTAATTCTATATCTCTCCATAGATACTGACAGACCTGCCTAGTTTCTCCAGCATTGTGCATTTGTTAAAAATTCTAGCATCTACAGTATTTTGCTTTTATTCTTGCTGTGTTTCCTTTCCCACTCTTTCACTAGTTTTCTGATGAGAAGTCAATAATCTCAAACATTAACTGTGTGTCTCTCCCCAAGATTTAACTACCAGACTTGCAAAGCATTTTCTGTTTTCTTTTAATTGTTCACTCCTCAATTGGCATTCACAGCATATTCCAAGAAAACAGGGAGAAAATAGCTGGAGCCAGTAAGAACTAATAAATTAATTTTGTGGGGTGGCCTGGGAATTGGGCTCGCTGCCTTTTGTTTAGTTCTCTAATTCCAATTTTTTTTGTTTAAAATTCAATAGGGACAGACACAAGATTGTAAGAAAAACCAGCGGTCGCGGTTTAAAGGATACAGGGCAGGCCATTTAGAACTGAGATGAGGAAAATTTATTCACCCAGAGTGGCAAGCCTATAAAATTTTCTTGTCACAGAAGGTAAGGCCAAAACAATGAATGCATCAAGGAGTTAGATATAGTTCTTAGGGCTAAAGGGATCAAAAAAAGGGTCTGGGGAGAAAGAATGAACAGGATATTGAGTTGGATGAATCAGCCATGATCATAATGAATGGTGGAGCAGGCTTGAAGGGTAAATGGCCGACTCCTGCTCCAATTCTTTTGTGTTTCTATGTTTTTTTTAAAATGGCTCCATGACTTAACGGAATAAACTTAAATCTTTGCATTTCAGATTTGGAAATAGAAAACTATAGTCCAATTCTTCCCATTTTTACAGTGATCTATATCCGTGAATGAACTAAAATTTCATGGTTTTGTGTACTTTGTGAAATCTTACTGCCATCTTGCAAATTCTACATTAAAATTTAAGATACTAGTAGATACTTTGGGACAGGGATCTAAAAACTGAAATATCCCAATTATGCAGTTGTCAGACCAATTAATTTCAGAAATACTGAAAATTCTAAACATATAGAAATATGATACTGGAATTATAATTCATACTTAGATCATGACTTATGTCATACTAAGTACGTGAATATGCTGTCTGTTTTGGAGCAGCTTACTGAATTTCATATAGACCAGGTGAGTCCTTCCATCCCATCATTTCCACATTTCAAATCTTGACTGGCATGCTTTCAAACTTCCTGCACGAAATAAAGAATATTTTGAGTGCACGGGGCAGATCAAATAATATTGATCCTGATAAAATCCCTTCTGTGGCTCAGAACCTATACATTAGAGTTTGCTAACTGAGTTTCCGGAGGATGTTCCACCACATGAATGGATAGTTGTGGGTCTTGTGTTTCAAAAGAAAAATGACAGCCAGCAATTTTCGTAACACAAATGATGACAAAAAAGATCTGCTCCATAATAACAGGAAAATTAAGCCAACCAAGCTGCCAAGATAGCTTCAAAAATGAAACTTACATAACAATTTTTGCCTTATTTGTGGAGAAGAAAGGACAATTTAAAAATTATCAATTACAATCACAACCTCAGCTCCCACTCTCTAGGGGTTGCATAGTATACAAGCTGGTTGTGACAATGTTCTAAAACACTGGGATTATTCCCTGCATTTGCAAAAGCTTGCAGGTGTGACTTTTAACCCAATTTGGTACGATGACATTCCAGCAGTAACAAAAAAAATGTTAAAAGACCACTTATGTTACCATTTGAAAAAGTGAATATGGAAAATGCTGTATAGCACTTGCAATATTGCTACCATAAAAATGAAACGGCAAATGACAAAATGTAAAGAAAACATGTAAAACATAAAGAGGAGCCACTGACCACTTGTAAAAAGTCTTTGATTTCTTCTCACATTCTGGAACATAAGGAGGAATCTGTGGTTGTAGTAATGTCATTAAGTCATGTGAGCTTCACATTGTACTTCAACAATGTATAAACATTCAAAAGAGGCTGAAGAGAGCTTTGAAAGCATAATCACCCAGAAGTTCAAAGGAATTTCAACTGTTTGGTTAATTCACTCAATTCCCTCACAAATTGAGTGACTTGTTTTTAAATTTAACTTTTGATATTACACTTCATATTCGAACAGCCCTTGGCATGTTGTGAATCCATCTAAATGCCTCTTTATGCTTTTTGGAAAAAATTTAATTTTATACCCCGCCTGCACGGCAGATTGTGCAATAATGGTAATATCACTAGATGAGTAAACCAAAGGCCCAGGCTAATGCTGAGAGGACAGGTTCAAATCCCACCATGGTAGCTGGTAGAATTTTATTAATAAATCTGGAACATGAAGCTGACCTATGATGCTGACCATAATAACTACCACAGATGATTGTAAAACTCATTCCGTTCACTAATGTCCATGTTTTTTTTCCCTCTATTAATTTGTGGGATGTGGGCGTCGCTGGCTGGCCAGCATTTCTTGCCCTTCCCTAGTTGCCCTTAAGAAGGTGGTGGTGAGCTGCCTTCTTGAACCGCTGCAGTCCTCCTGCTGTGGGTTGACCTACAATGCTATTAGGGAGGGAATTCCAGGATTTTGACCCAGCGACAGTGAAGGAATGGCAATATATTTCCAAGTCAAGATGGTGAGTGACTTGGAGGGGAACTTGGAGATGGTGGTGTTCCCATATTTCTGCTGCCCTTGCCCTTCTAGATGGAAGTGGTCGTGGTTTTGGAAGGTGCTGTCTGAAGTTCTTTGGTGAATTTCTACAATGCATCTTGTAGATAGTACACACTGCTGCTACTGAGCATCGGTGGTGGAGGGAGTGAATGTTTGTGGATGTAGTGCCAATCAAGCGGACTGCTTTCTCCTGGATGGTGTCAAGCTTCTTGAGTGTTGTTGGGGCTGCACTCATCCAGGCAAGTGGGGAGTATTCCATCACGCTCCTGACTTGTGCCTTGTAGATGGTAGACAGGCTTTGAGGAGTCAAGAAGTGAGTTACTTGCTGCAGTAATCCTAGCTTCTGGCCTGCTCTTGTAGCCACTCTGTTAATGTGGTGAGTCCAACTGAGGTTCTGGTCAATGGTAACCCTCAAGATGTTGATAGTGGGGGATGCAGTGATGGTAACACCATTGAATGTCAAGGGATGGTGATTAGATTGTCTCTTATTGGTGATGGTCACAGCCTGGCATTTGTGCAGCGCGAATATCACTAGCCACTGTCAGCCCAAGCTGTGCTACAGAAGTATAAAGCAATTAGCGGAAATAATTTCTCTTTATTCTTAAAATGAAAACTTTCACATTTTTAAGCATTTCAGTTAGCTTACCCAGCCTCCCAAACCAATCAATCATTTCTACCATCATCACAATCTTAATCTTTCAAATTTCCATTTATAATCAATATAACTATTAAACTAATGCATCCACATACCACCCACTCAATATCATTCTACACTGATCTACAAAACCTTCATTCACAACTCTAACTATGGCTTAAAAGGCTAAGAAGAATTCTTCTACTCTGTACTTTTTATTTGAATTTTATTTCCCTTTATTCTTTCATGGGACATGGGTGGTGCTGGCAAGGTCAGCATTTATTGCTCATTTCTTAGTCGCCTTTGAGCTGAGTGGCATACCATTTCATAAAGCATTTCAGAGTCAACCGCACTGCTGTGGAGGTCTGGAGTCATACATAGATCATAGCGATAATTTCCTTCCTTAAAGTATGTCAGTGAACCAGGTGGATTTTTGCTACAATTGATGGTAGTTTCATGGTCACTATTACTGCAACTAGCTTTATATTCCAGATTTAACTAATTGAATTTAAATTCAATTAGTAAAGTCAAAGTCTACAGCATTAGTCTGCACCTCTCACTTGTTAGTCCAGTGATGTTATCACTCTATCACTGCCTTCCTCGACACATAAAAACTGAATTTCAGGTACTCAAGTTGTTCTAACTGCAATCTTGTTTATTAAGGCCTGAACATCTACACTACAGATTTTGTAGCTGTAATGAAAAACTTACATCTAATGTAATGATCTCTGGAGACTAATAATTAATTTGAATATCTTTTAAAAAGTCATTAGCTGAACAAATGCACCTTTTAAAACTTATACCGCAACAATTGCCCAAAATAAACTTGTTCATCCAGCCCTGCACCTTGTTGTCTCGGATTCTCCAGCATCTGCAGTTCCTACTATACCTGAGGAACATTCCACTTTTGTATTTCTCACTCTGCAGAATTACACTCCTTATAGCAAACAATCCACAGTTACTCCCAGCTTTCAATGGGTTCTGCTATCCCAGTTTTGCGCAATAGTAACTTTGAGTAACCATCTCCAGCTGCTTTGTTCTGGTTTCAGTTTCTTAATCCCACCACCAGCAGGAAAGCCATTCTGAAGATTCTACTTTCCCTGACCATGCCAGGATATATCTCTGAGTATCTTTAGATGGCTACATCACAATTCCCTCAATCTCGTTGCTGCATCTGGCTGTGGTAACTCACAAAGCAAGCAACTGTTTCCCTCTTTTCCATGCAGACGTTCAGCTGTCAGTGAAACTTGGTGAGTTGTAGAGAAACCTGTAACCGATTTCAGAACAGCTTCCTCTGTTGTCTTCATACTCCTGTGAAACACAAATCTTGCATCCTGGCAGAAATGCTAATTAGGTGTCTTTGATCCCAATTCGCTTTCAATTAAAAGTAAATGGACAGTTAAAAGCACAACTCTTTATAGCTCAATATCTAAAACATTGTTCAATGACTGCCAGAGACTCAAGGTTTGTCTCTAAGCACCTTGTTCCCAGCAAAACAATCTAAATCTTCTTTGTTAAGAATTAAACTATTCAGTTTCACTGTCAGTTTCACTTCAGGAAAGCTCATATGACCCTAATCATTCAACGATGTAGTTTTGAACATCATCTTCTAAACCTCACAAATGTAACAAGAGGATGCATTTGCAGTTCCAACTTCCCTAACACCCACTTTGCACTTATATTGAACTGCATGTGTCATGAGTGGCCATTCTCCCAAGTTCACTTAAGAGATGACTCCTGTGGTCTTCCATTTTCACAATGTGCCATATTTTTAAATTTGATATTACTCAAATTTGGAGATTTCCCTCCCATCTACCCTTGTTAAAATAATGCATGTGACTAAAGACAGAACCCTGACTGGATTACACAACTCCAATCTGTCTAAATGCTTCCCTAAAATGTTCTAATGGTAGCAACTGCATAATTTTACCATTATCCCTGTTCAGAAGCTAATACATAGAAAGTGGAATCAATGTCTATTTGACTAAAACAATATAATCTCAACGTTGGAAATCTGAAAACTGAAGTGCAGGAATTCATTACTGAATAACTAAACAAATCAGATCAAGAAAGACAGGTAGATAGACAGACAGATATGTTGGACAATAATTCTGGCTCCCACATTTGGAGGGGGTGCAACAGCATGATATGGAACAGAAAATTCAAAAGAATCAGTTCCAAAAGCTTTATTACTTAGCCAGGTGATTTTATAAAAAGATCTCAAACTGTTGCTGTAGCTTCAGTTATATGTGTCCTTAGTCACCAGCTCTGAAAGTTTATTCTTTGAGTCTCAGCAGCAGCAGCATCCAAGCAAATAAGCAAATTACGTTTTGATTTACCAGTCTTGATGATTTGATAATACTAACCTGACAAGCAACTTTTGGTAATGCAACAGATGAGCCAAAAATAAAGTAAATGCAAAAGTAACATACTGCAGATATTGGAAGTCTGAAATAAAATCAGAAAATGCTTTAAAAAATACTCAGGTCAGACAGCAGCTATGAAGAAAGAAACAAAATTGCTATTTTGGGTTAATGACCTTCCATCAGAACAATACAATTTAAAGCATAGCTCTGATCTCCAATTTTATATTAGTATGTCACTAAAAGTGAAACAGAAGTGATTCTCTTGATCACAAAAGACATCAACAATGAATAAATTCCATTTACAAGTTTCAAGTCTAGGATGAATTGAGCATAACTAAAAACAAACTGACCTGGAGAGTCAGTTGCTCTTCATTAAACGTCCACAGCCTTTTTTTGATACTTTCATAATCACACATCATTGTCTGCAATTCCATTTCAGCCTGCAGAAGTTGTTTCCTACATCTCCCATAGTTCATAAGAAGTTCAAAAAGCTCATTTTTATCCTGAGTGGCCACAGAAAAAAATTCTTCAACATATGTATCAACATTTTCCAGCCATGAACCTAATGAAAACATCTTGAGCTCTTCTTTTGAAAATGGTACAACTTCACATGGAATAACTGGATAGAGTGTTCCGGAATGAGATGAAACCTGCTCAATGAATGCAGTTTTAGGGTCTTTCTTGGCCTCAAATGGCAAATCAGGGTACAGTCTCTCGACAGTTAACCGTACAGGAAGATCAGTCATGATGTTATGCAGCTTCATATCCACCGTCTCTTTTCCACAATTATCCAGTATTAAAATAGCAGGTTTTTTAACATCCTTATTCTGTGAGACCTCCTTTTCCTTCAAATCAACTGTTACATTCTGTGAAGCAGTACTTCTGGAGTGCGACTGAATTTGGTCTGAAACACTGCAAACAGCAGATTCAACATCACTAATATCCTGCAAATGTTTGTTTTGATTAATAGTGGTCTTACTAGAGCAAGGTAGTTCATTAGTCTCTGGAATCCCACATACCTCTTGGAGTACAGTGTTACTGTGAGGGATATGGTGAGTGTTTAATTTTTTTGTCTGATTTACATGACGCTGTTGATCTTTACTGTCCAACCCAACATGTTGTTTTGAATCAATTTCAGTTTCTGCAATTGCAGTGGACACCACTTCCACCAATGACCCAGACTCTTGAGTAATTTTTACAGTATTCTCTGCTATCAGCAAATCTGGAAGAAACTGGTGTTCTTCACTTTGGCCCTCATGTTTCAAAATAGTTTCTTTTTGGTTTTTATTGGCTTCAGTTGGACTGGATGAGGCAATCTGTGTTTTTGTTATCGCATGAGAAGCTGATTCTTGATCTGATTCAGGTTTTGAACATTTTTTCTTAGTTTCTGTCATCGCTTTTCTCTTTTTGTCCTGAAAATCCAAAAGAAAATGACATATTAGCCACCCACCTTTAACTGGTTTGATATATCAGTTTCACTTTCGCTTCCCATTAGCCATAACACAACATTGGTCACATTTCTGACGAAGGGTCTAGGCCCGAAACGTCAGCCTTCCTGCTCCTCTGATGCTGCTTGGCCTGCTGTGTTCATCCAGCTCTACACCTTGTTATCTCAGATTCTCCAGCATCTGCAGTTTCTACTATCTCTGGAATTTTATTTATTTCGGATGTGAATAGAAAGATCATATGTCATGTTATCTAAGCAACTGGTAGTTGCGAAGAGAGATTACATTTCATAAAACGACTACTTATCTGCTGCTAAGATAAACGACTGAACAGTTTTATTCAGTCGTGCCAAATATATGGGACAGTTTTATTTAAGTACAGATGCTTTTCTTTTTACCTAAAAGACGCCTGGAACAGGATTGCATAAGATTTAGAGACGTCAATGAGACTCCGTGAATAGAAAACGCGACAGAGCAGTACTGTTTCCGGGAAGATAACAGATAAATATTTAATACAACCTCAAAATGCAGGCAAGAATTATTATTCCAGATATCTCCCCGAGACCACCGCATTTACCCCGAGCTATAAATACTGCCTAACGGCTTGAACCCCCAAAGCGGAGACAGCCTGACCCCCACCCACTGCTCCTGTTGTTTTTACCTCCACTTTTGCTGAGTGCTTAGACTTCTTGGGGCGCACAGCTTCCGCCATCCTAAACAGCGGATCCTGAGGCTGAGGCACGACCAGGACCAGGACCAGGGCCAGGCCGAGACCGAGCGGAGCGGCCACGCGCGGTCACAGGTCACACAACCGCTCACCAATGACGCGAGAGTCTGAGCATGCGCGAGATGAGGGGGCGGAGTTATGCGGTTTTGTGATTGATGAACAAGGATCGCCCAGGGCTGCAGGTTTTAGCAGTCTTCCTCAATTTAAGGATTGAGCGAAATGAAAAACCGAAATAATTGCGGAAAATCCCAGGAGGTCTGCTAGCATCTGTGGAGAGAAATCAGAGTTAACGTTTCGAGCCCAGTGACCTTTCTTCAGATGTTTTTTTCCAGCAGTTTATGTTTTTAAGTATCCAGCTCTTCTTCCAGTCTAATATTTTTATTGCAAAAATATACTTCATTCATAGAAGGAAATCTTTATGTACATACACAGTTAATGTACCCATTCCGATCTATACTGTCATTTACTAACAGAGACGAAAATACACATTGGCGTTTGCCTTTCTCTATATTTACAATTAACCTGTTGGCATTTGGCCGAGGCATCAGCAGAGTCCGGTTACTGAATGGGACCCCTGCTTTGCTTTGGCAGAAGGTCCTTACATGTTGGTCTTTCCCCACTGCACTTTGGCAACAGCTGCCCCAAGTTTTATTGCGTCCCTCAGCACGTAGTCCTGGATCTCGGAATGTGCCAGTTTGCAACACTCAGTTGGGGTCAACCCTTTCAACTGGAAGACCAGCAAATTTTGGGCAGACCAAAGTGCATCTTTCACCACGTTGACGGTCCTCCAGACACAGCTGATGTTGGTCTCAGTGTGCGTCCCGGGAAACAGACTATAGAGCACAGAGTCCTGTGTCACGGAACTGTTCAGGACGAACCTTGACAAAAACTACTGCATTTCCCTCCAGACTTCCTTTGCATAAGCACATTCCAGAAGGAGGTGTTTGACAGTCTTGTCCCCTCCACAGCCACTTTGAAGGCAGTGTGCGGTGGTGTAGAGAGTCCAGGCATACATGAAGGATCTCACAGGCAGACCCCTTGTCACCACCAGCCAAGCAATGTCCTGGTGCTTGTTGGAAAACTCAGGTGATGAGGCATTCTGCCAAATGACTTTGGAAGTCTGCACAGGGAACCACTTGACAAGATCCACCCTCTCCTTTTCCTGAAGGGTCTCGAGGATGCTATGTGCTGACCACTGCCCAGTGGACTTGTAGTCAAAGGTGTTTTTCTTCACAAATTTCTCCATTAAGGACAGGTGGTACGGGACAGTCCAACTACTTGGAGTGTTCCGCGGCAATGACACCAAGCCTATCCTTCGCAACACCAGGGACAGGTAGAACCTCAGTAAGCAGTGACACTTGGTGTTTGCGTACTGAGGATCCGTGCACAGCTTGATACAGCCACACACAAAGGTGGCCATCAGGATAAGGGTAGCATTGGTATGCTTTTCCCCCCTTTGTTCAGTTCTTTATACATAATGTCCCTTCGAACTCGGTCCATCTTCAACCTCCAAATGAGGTGAAAAATAGCCCGGGTGACTACAGTGGCACAGGTTCGGGGAATAGGCCAGACCTGCAGCATGTACAACAACACTGAGAGTACCTTACACCTGATGACCCGCTTTTTTCCCTCAATGGAGAGGGACCGGTGTTCCAATTTGCCTAGTTTCTGCCTCACTTTGATGACACGCTCCTCCCAAGTTTTGGTGCACGCCCCAGCCCCTCTGAACTGAATACCCAGCACCTTCAGGTAGTCTGCCCTGACAGTGAAGAGAAGGATCATTCGGCCCATTTCCCAAAAAACATGGCCTCGGTCTTGCCCCTGTTGACCTTGGCACCTGAGGCCAGTTCAAACTGGCTGTAGATGCTCATGAGTCTGTGCACTGACTGCAGATCTGAGCAGAAAACTGTGATGACATCCATGTACAGGGAGGCTTTGACCTGCAGGCCTCCCCTGCCTGGAATTATCACCCGTCTCAGGCTCACATCCTTCCTGATGGACTCGGCAAAGGGCTCTATACCAAACACAAACAAGGCAGAAGAGAGTGGGAAGCCCTGCTTGACTCCAGATCTGAATTGGGAAGCTTTCTGACTCCCATCCATTGATTGAGACCGTGCTAACAATATTGGTGTCGAGTGTCGGATCCATTTGCACATTCCCTCCCCAAAGCCCAATTTGGAGAGAATATCTCTCGTGTGATATCGTATCAAAGGCCTTTTCCTGGTCCAGGCTGATGAGGCAGGCATCCACCCCCGTGTCCTGCACGTAGACGATCGTATCCCTGATGAGTGCAAGGGTCTCGGTGATCTTCCTGCCTGGTATGGCACAGGTTTGGTCAGGGTGAATTACCAATCCCAGAGCAGACCTGATCCAGTTGGCGATGACCTTAGACAGGATTTTGTAATCTACATTCAACAGCAAAATTGGTCGCCAGTTTCTAATTTCTTCCCTCTCCCCCTTCTGCTTGTAGATGAGGGTGATGGTGCCTTTCTTCATGGGTTCACACATGGTACCTGCCCGAAGCATATTGTCATACACCTCCAGCAGGTGCTGGCCAATCAAGTCCCACAGAGCGGAATACACTCAGCCAGTAAGCCATCACTTCTGGCAGTTTGGAGATAGTAGGTTCAAAGAACTTCCGGGCCTTGGTCAGCTCATCCAGAGATATCGGCTGGTCCAGCCTCTCCAGCGTGCTGTCTTCTATGACCTCCGTGATAGAGGAGAGGAACGACTGGGAGACCATGCTGTCAGTGGGCTTTGGGTCATACAGTCTGGCATAAAAGGATTTGCTGATCCTCAAGGTACCAGACTGAGGTGATGTTACTGAGCCATCTTTTTCCTTCAGGCTGCGGAGCACAGAGCTCTCCCTGTGCACCTTCTGAAAGAAGAAACGTTACCACGTCTCATCCTGCTCTACAGAGTGGACCCTGGACTGGAAGATTATCTTGGAGGCCTCTGAGGCAAAGAGTAAGGCTTGCTGACTCTTCACTTCCTGGACATCATCCATGACGTTGACCCCCAATGTCTGCAGTGGGAGCAGGTTCTGCATCCATTTTTGGAGTTGTGACAGTTTTCCCCACCTCTCTCTCACACCTTCTGAACACCTTTGAGGATGAAGAACCTCTTGATGTTCCCTTTGACTGTTTCCCACCAGTCCCCCGGAGACTCTGAAGAGGGGTTTCATGGTTCTCTAACCTGTGTAATCCCTTTTGAGCTCCTCAATTATTTCTGGGGTCAACGGTTTCACATCTAGCTTCCATGTTCCCTTGCCAGCCCACTGGTCATCCTGTAGGTAACAGTTGGCCAGCAGGAGGCAGTGGTCAGAGAAGAACAGCGGTTTGACATCGGTGGATCTGACCGAGAACACTTGAGACACAAACAGGAAATCTAACCTTGAGTGGATAGACCGGTCTGGCCGCGACCAGGTGTATCTGTGCTGTGCTCCATCAAGTTGCTGAAGATGTTGTGCAGCTTGGCACCTTTTAGCGTTTCCATCAGGAATCTGGAAGTGGCGTCCAGTTTACTGTTGTCCCCCGATCGTCCATCCGAATCGATGATGCAGTTGAAGTCTCCGGCCAGAATGACCGGCCTAGATGTAGCCAGCAGGAGTGGAAGCTGCTGCAGGATGGCCAACCGCTTACTCTTTACCGCTGGGGCGTACACATTAAATATTCTCAGGGGAGTGATCCTGTACGTAAAGTCTGCCAGGAGGAGGTGCCTGCCAACCACCTCCTTAATTTCAGAGATGGTGAAGTTGCCTCCTCGCAGCAGGATACCCAGGCCCAGAGGAACGGCAATCATTGCCCCCCGACCAAATGAAGGCCCATGGGCCCACAAGCTCGACCATTTCCTGTAGCTGCTGGGGTGTGGTATCCCACACTCCTGCAGAAACAGGAGGTCTGCTTTAATGTTGGCCAGATAGGTCAACGTGGAAAAACATCCTGTGGTAGATTTAATGCTACGCACTCTAATACATACAGTTTTTAAACCCATTTTAGGTTGATACAATGTTAGAACATGAAGTCCGTTTTCCCGAGATCTAATCACTGCGGCAGTCCCCGCATCCCTGTTGGGTGGTCAAACAGTTGGACTCTTGCAGGGTTGAGGTAGTTGTCCAGTTTTTCTCTCGGGCCATTTCCCCTGTCTGTTGTCGTCGGGGCAAGGGCGAAATCGGGAACGTCCGGTTCTGAGTCCAACCTGGGGGGGCGCGGTGCTGGCTGTCGTCCCCTGCTCCTTACTCAAAGTCTCGCTGCTTCCGGTTGCCCGGAGCTGTGGTGTGGAGGGACCCCCCCAGGTTCCCAGCCATGGAGGGCTGAGTTTTGCCAAGGGGATCCTGACATCCACCATTTTAGGATAGGGTAGTGTTCCTGTTCTTCTCCCTGGTAACCTTGATCCTCCTTTTTTGTTGATGGCCCTCCTTCTGTGAGTCCTCTTCATTGGAGGAGCTTCTGTGGCCATCCTGTAGCTGCCTGTTCCCATTGTGTTGTTGTAGTGTGAGGGCCTGGCGAGGTTTTCTTTTCCTGTTTTCCACTTCTCCGACTCCTTCGTCATCTCCTCCTCCATTGACTCTGGATTCTCGGGAGGGGGATGAGTCCGTTATGCCACTGTGCTGGCTTCATGTCTCTCTTCTGCAGCTTGGCCCTCCTGTGTACCTGTCTGTTCATTTTCCCTGCTGGAGGGTGGCACCTTACTGTCTTTTGGGAGGGTTCGGCCACGTTGCTCCCACTCGCCATCTAAGCGTATGTGCCCACACCCCCCGTCGTGGGCTTATAGAGGTGGCTCGCTTCTCCACAAAGGTTACAGTTGTTTGTCTTTTGGCAGTCCTTTGTCAGGTATCCCTCCTCCATACAGTTCCTGCACAGGGTCACCTTGCACTCTGCTGCCAAGTAAGACCATAAGACCATAAGACATAGGAGCAGAAATTAGGCCATTCAGCCCATCGAGTCTGCTCCGCCATTCAATCACGGCTGATAAGTTCCTCAACCCCATTCTCCCGCTTTCTCCCTGTAACCCTTGATCCCTTTGATAATCAAGAACCTATCTATCTCAGTCTTAAATGTACTCAATTACATGGCCTCCACAGCCTTCTGTGGCAGTGAATTCCATAGATTCACCACTTTCTGGCTGAAGAAGTTT